TGACCAAAGCCTTCAAAGGACTTGTACTTGTATGTTCATTCAAAACAGCTTACAAAGTTAAACCCCTAACCTTCCGAATGACATAAATGGACTTATCCAGCTTTCATTTTTGGAACTTTCCATTTTCAATTTTAGGGTTATCAAGATGAAAAGTAAAAGTTGGACAGCCAACAAAAGAGGCGTGTCAGACTGCAATGAAGTGCTGGTCATAGCATGGCATTGGTCTATGCTGATAGTTAAGGTCAAAGTCACTAGGTTCCAGAACAGATTGCATATTCATAAATTAACAACCATGCCTTCAACATTATAATGAATGAAACTTGTGTAAAAATCAAATAAGAAAACACAGAAATATGCAAATAGAGTTCTCTCCTAAATCTGATGACAAATTAGTCAGTTTATGTGACAGCTATTCTGTGTGTACTTTTGCATTTTAGATAGTGTACTGTATGTACAAATTATCATATTCATCATTTATGCCATAAATTACCACTGTGTCTTAAATGGTTTTTAATTTCCGTATTATTATTGTAAAAGGATAGCAAAAAACCCTCTGATACTGAATTGGATATTTCAATAAATAGGTCAATGCGCATAGTAAAAGGTACGGTATATTGTAATAGTCTCGCTACTGTCCCCAGATTGCTTCAAAGCAAAGGATAAGATTGAATCACGATCAAAAAAGGGTTGCAACGTTTATGGGTCAGTGATTCAGCAATGGGGGTGGTAGCCTAATACTGCCACATTAAAATGGAACGATGATTTCTTGATGAATAGATGGGTAATGTAAGACAGCCAGGAAACAGGTTTCAATTTGCCGTTTCAATAAGCTCTTATTACACGCTTATATGTTTTATAGTGCAGATCACATGACGGAGGTCAAAAGAGCAGCGTCCTTCAAATTATTACTGACAAAGGGTTGAATGCACACCCTTTCCAATGAATTGAATGCAAATAATCAGTCACTTTTCATGAATTAAGTCTCTTTACTTCAAACATTTTGTTACCCCATACAGAGAAAATACTCTCTCTTTTTCATTTGTAAAAAGGGAGTGCGACTTTTGCATATTTTAAATCAAGAAAAGAAACCCTTCAACTAATTTAATGAATAGCTTGTTTCTAAAGACCAGTTAAATATTACATTACTGCAGGGTGGTGGTAAAGATGAAGATGTAGTAAATTAAGACTAAAATTAGCATAATAATAATATTATATGAAAAAGTAAAACTGTTCAAGCCATATGTTTTCATCATGAGCTTGAATTGGTATATAACAAAATTCAAATAAAAAAAACAACAACATAATATTTTATCAAAAATCATCATAATTTTTCAAAGCTCATCATGTTTTATCAGAGAGCATCATAAAAATGATTGTGGCATCTAAGAAACATGGCATACTAAAGATTACCATGTCATACTAAAGAGCACCATGTCATACTAAAGAGCACCATGTATATAAGACCACCATGTCATACTAAAGAGCATCATGTCATATGTTAAAGACCACCATGTCATACTAAAGAGCACCATGTCATATATTAAAGACCACCATGTCATACTAAAGAGCACCATGTCATATATTAAAGACCACACAATTATGTTCAGATAAAACAACAAAGGGCCATAAGTCTGCAAAAACTGATTAAATCGTAAAACAGGTACAGGGGCACTAACAGTAACGATACTGATCAAATCTTAAAACACCTACAATAGGCACTAAGGATCAAGGTTATAAATTTTTCTAAACTCAAACACAGTTCCAGGTATTTGATTGGTCAGAAACATTCACAGCATGTGCACCTGTTTAATGAAAAGATGGATACCAAAAAAAAAAGAAGTTTTAAAACCGTTTTTAGGTCACTCAATGACAAAAATTCCATAAAATTTTTGTGTGGCTTAAATCCATTGAGAATAGAAGAAATTATGTCACATTTATTATAAAACAAGTATTTTATTTCAGAAAACCTGTTTAAAAACAAGAGCTAGAAAAACCATACATCTCTAATTAAATATTTTGTATTCAAATACCATAATTTAAAAGAAAACATCACCATTTAAATATAAACTCAAATTTATTGACTCACCTATCCTGTACAGAATAACGATACAATATGATTATTTCTACACTAAAATTTTTCGTTATATTCTTGTTTATTTATAACTTATATCATTAACTTGTTCCATAATCATATAATTGAAATATACATAAAAATGCTAACTCTTCCAAACTTTACAATTGCACACGACAATTCTAAGAATTTTCCTCAGCGCTACGCTTTTTTTATCTTATAAAGAAGTGGTTGGCTCTGTATGGCAGGATTTGTGTGTGAAAAAGGGTATATATGAATAAGTTATAATTTCCTATCATTTAGAACAGAACAAACACTATTGTATGTAACTTTACAGGCTAATATTCTGTTTCCTTTTACATTTTTAAACAGTTCGTACACACACTTTTTTCTACCTCTTTTATATTAATAACTTATAAACTCATGTTTAACATATCATATTTTAAAATGCTTCATTACAAGGCAGTCTCTGTAAGCTTTTAAAAATTTGCAGGCTCGCTGAACAGTTTATATAATGAATGAAACAAAGTTTCCAGGGACAGCTCAAAGACTAGAGGCCTAGATTTTTGAGACACTAGTATAAATTCAAGTCAGCTAAGTCAGAATTAAGACAGAATATGATGTATTTCAGGCAAGTTAAATCATGAGACATATTATGAAGTATTTTAGGCTAGTTAAATCATGATACATATTATGAAGTATTTTAGGCTAGTTAAATCATGATACATATTATGAAGTATTTTAGGCTAGTTAAATCATGAGACAAAATATATTATGAAGTACTTTAGGCTAGTTAAATCATGAGACAATATATATTATGAAGTATTTTAGGCTAGTTAAATCATGAGACAATATATATTATGAAGTATTTTAGGCTAGTTAAATCATGAGACAATATATATTATGAAGTATTTTAGGCTAGTTAAATCATGAGACAATATATATTATGAAGTATTTTAGGCTAGTTAAATCATGAGACAATATATATTATGAAGTATTTTAGGCTAGTTAAATCATGAGACAATATATATTATGAAGCATTTTAGGCAAGTTAAAACATGAGACAATATATATTATGAAGTATTTTAGGCAAGTTAAATCATGAGATAATATATATTACAAAGTATTTTAGGCTAGTTAAATCATGAGACAATATATATTATGAAGTATTTTAGGCTAGTTAAATCATGAGACAATATATATTATGAAGTATTTTAGGCTAGTTAAATCATGAGACAATATATATTATGAAGTATTTTAGGCTAGTTACATCATGAGACAATATATATTATGAAGTATTTTAGGCTAGTTAAATCATGAGACAATATATATTATGAAGTATTTCAGGCTAGTTAAATCATGAGACAATATATATTATGAAGTATTTTAGGCTAGTTAAATCATGAGACAATATATATTATGAAGTATTTCAGGCTAGTTAAATCATAAGACAGATTATAAAGAATTTCAAGCTAGTTAAATCATTAAATGCATGAGTTCTTTAAGGCTATTTAAGTCGTGAGAATGATATGTTGTATTTCAGGCTAGAAAAATCATTTAACAGAGTACGAATTATTTCAGACTAGTTCAATCGTTATTTCAGGCTAGCTAAACATTTAACACATTATGAATTATTCTAGGCAAATTTGTGTCGGAATCCACTAGAATTTAACAATAAAGAAATTTTCATTGTGATCTCTCATTAAAATTACTAAAAATCGAAAAGATGAACAGGTCCTTTCTGAATGTTCAGTAGATAAAAGGCTTTCCAAATTTTATCATACTCTCTTTAAAAATCTATAATGAACTGTTTCAAAGTTGAAAGTTTGACAGGCCAATTCCAGATATTTGTGAAGACACAGCCATTAAAAATCATGTACTGAAAATTTCAATATAATTATATATATGTATAGAACTTTTTGTCTGTTTGCTCATTAGGGAGAATATAAGAGTTGTAATCCCCAAGTAACTGCTGGTTCATTCCTGGGTAGAGGCAAAATTTCTCCTTGAAAATATTTTTCTTAAACATGGAGTCAAATGGTCATTTGTCCCTAACCACTCATTCAGAAATCGTGGATAGTAACCTAGTAGTGGATCATTTCCAGGGAAATTAGTAAAGTACTGTTTAATTATCCAGGATAGCCAGTTATGTGGAGAGATTGTTGAAATATGACTAATAAATTATGTAAAAACTAGGGTATAAACCAGTACCAAGAAAAGAAAAGAGTGACCTTGATATTGTCCCTTTATCAAATATGGTATTGCTGACGTATTTATAGAATTATCACCTTTCCAAAAGAGGCATATGGCGTACAATGAAGACATGCTAAACAAAATGTTTCCTTTTCTGTTCAAAGCTCAGTACGTAAATACCAAGACACCATTCCTTGGAATTATTTATGTACATACTGAATCAATTTTCAGTGCACCTTAAAACTTGATCTTTACGAAGTACATTAACTTGCTTTTACCACAAATAACAATTTGCTGCTTTTTTTATGACAAATATTAACTTGCTTTGACCATCAATATTAAATTGCCATGTACCACAAACAAGTGTACACCCATGCAGTCTATCCATTGCTTTTGAAGTTTTATCACAATAATTATGGAAAATTCACTGTTCAAAACTGGGCTAGTCCATAAGCATTTACTTACTAGACTTTAACATATTTTTTAAAATGTTCATTTACCAAAGTGATTATTTTCTCCTTTAGTTTTGGCACAAGTTTTTTAACTAAAGTTTCAAAGCAGTCAATCAGTTAAATAATTATGCACAAATCAATCAGAGAAAGAACCAATCACATGCTTAAGTTAAAAAGTGTATTAGACCTCATGTTAAATTCACGATAGTTGTCCCTCTAATTTTCCTAATATCAGACAAGCATGTAACCACAGGAAAAAAAACAATAAATGCAAAACTTCTTACCTGAGACCTGAGTTCAATAATAAATGCTCTGTGTTAAAATAATTTAATATTTCATCGCTTCTGTGTCCTTTACGCCCCACCATAGTGTGTCTCCGGGACAACGAGGTGGGGCACTGCAGCGGGTCGCTCACCTCACTCAACTCCTGTAATGAACAAATGTAACATTATTATATAAAAATCTATTGATAGAAAACCAATACCATTTATCTTTAGCTGGCTGGAACCAAAGATGATAAGCTTTGACCTACTGTTACAGAACCAGGCTGGCCAGTACATCTGTGCAGTCTGATCAAGCTCTATACTGATAGTAGCTCCAGTTTATGTATCATAATACTGTAATCCCTTAAGCTTCAAATGGACTGGTCCAAATTCAAAGCAGGAAGTGCCCATTACACATTCGTGTGCCCAAAGTATCCCATTAACTAGTGATGGAAATCGGATGGAATTTGTCTCAATCGATCATCGGTTCAATCGGATTGGCCATAATCGATAACTTTTCGAATAAAGTCGCGTTAAAAAGAAATAGGGAAGAAACATTTCTTCCCATGGTACTTCATTAAATTCAGTAACATGAACTTCATTTAGCACTTTTAAACACAGTTTTCACCTCATACATGTATAGTCATAATTTTACGAAATAGATTTTATTTTTCAATGGATGTCAAATAATAACATTCACATCACATAATATTGCTATTGTTTACATCATGCATTGATCCTGTTCAACTCCAAATTGTCTCCGCGATGATTTTTTTTGCGATCGGCTAAGAAAATTACCGTCAGAATTAATTCCCTTTGATACTTAAAACATTTTCGACGACGTCGCGGAAATTTTTTGTGTGAATCGATTATTGTCGCTTTACATAACAGTAACTGATTATCGGCAACTTGCGACAATCGGAACATCACTACCATTAACTTAAAAAGTTTGAAATAGTTGACAAGAGTCTTTCTATTCACATCTCATGAAAATACTCAAGCAAAGCAGATCTACACCCTAGAGCAAAAAAGGCGATTTAAAACAGTTTACAAAAGTATTCTCACTTGAAATCAAAATAAAAAGCTCAGGATAGAAATTTGAACTGTAGAACTGTAAAAAAACAAACAAACAAACAAACAAAACAAAAACACCCAAAAAAACACTAACACTTTTAACATAATCCTAAAGCACACTGAATATCACAAATGCTTAATACAAGATCATTTTTGCATTTAAAAAAAAGTGCCTTTAAATAGAATGTGGCAAAATAGATTATCAATTAAATATTTCTTTAAACAGATCTCTAAGAATAGAAATTGACAACAACATTGCAAGCAATTAACCTAATCAATTAACCCAATATGTTACATAAACCTTATTTTTCTGTTGGTTTGAAAAATAAAAACCAACACAGATATGTGTACCATTTGTAAGCGTAATAAAACGTCATTGTATTGACTTTTTCTAGTCTTTTTATCCTGCAAAAATATGCTCCAGGATGTAAAATCAACCAGATGTCACCATTCAGGTCAGCATATGCAAGGCCCTGTTAATTCTTTATCATTTCTGTAACACCTTATACTTGTAACTCAAAGGATAACTGTTTCTAAGTAATAGTGAAACTTGTATATGACTGACTTGACCAACTGTACAGTGAAACCTTTGATTGACTAAATGACTTGACCAAGCAATTTACAAATACAGCAAAACTTTTACGACTTGACCAAACAATATACAAATACAGTGAAACTTGTATGACTTCCCCTAGCAATATACAAATACAGTAAAACTTTTATGACTGGCTTGACCAACTGTTACAAAGTAACAGTGAAACTTTTCTGACTTGACCAAGCAATAATTATACAAATAGAGTGAAACTTGTATGACTTGACCAAGTAATAAACAAATACAGTAAAACTTTTATGACTGGCTTGACCAACTGTTACAAAGTAACAGTGAAACTTTTCTGACTTGACCAAGCAATAATTATACAAATACAGTGAAACTTGAATGACTTGACCAAGTAATAAACAAATACAGTAAAACTTTTATGACTGGCTTGACCAACTGTTACAAAGTAACAGTGAAACTTTTCTGACTTGACCAAGCAATAATTATACAAATACAGTGAAACTTGAATGACTTGACCAAGTAATAAACAAATACAGTAAAACTTTTATGACTGGCTTGACCAACTGTTACAAAGTAACAGTGAAACTTTTCTGACTTGACCAAGCAATAATTATACAAATACAGTGAAACTTGAATGACTTGACCAAGTAATAAACAAATACAGTAAAACTTTTATGACTGGCTTGACCAACTGTTACAAAGTAACAGTGAAACTTTTCTGATTTGACCAAGCAATAATTATACAAATACAGTGAAACTTGTATGACTTGACCAAGTAATATACAAATAGAGTGAAACTTTTATGACTGGCTTGACCATCTGTTACAAAGTAACAGTGAAACTTTTCTGACTTGACCAAGCAATAATTATACAAATACAGTGAAACTTGTATGACTTGACCAAGTAATATACAAATAGAGTGAAACTTTTATGACTGGCTTGACCATCTGTTACAAACTAACAGTGAAACTTTCTGACTTGACCAACTGTTACAAAGTAACAGCGAAACTTGTATGACTTGACTAAGCAAAATACAGTTACAGTGTAACTTGTATGATTACCTTGAGCAACTGTTATTACGTAATAGTTGAATTTGTACAGCTGACTTGACAAACACTTATACAGTAACATATCAGCTGTCAAAATGTTGCACAGTATTAGTAACACTTGAACAACTTATTTAACCCCAGCTTTGAATTCCTATCTGTCCACTGTTACAGGGATTCTAGCATGAAAATGATGAAACAAAGTTATTAACCCCAGCTTTGAATTCCTATCTGTCCACTGTTACAGGGATTCTAGCATGAAAATGATGAAACAAAGTTATTAAATTTTTTTAGTCTTTTTCAAACTTGATGAACACAACTCCATACTGGTATAATAGTTCCTAAATGTAAAAGTTAACAGTTAAATTCCTTAATGTAACATTGTATTATAATAGTTGACAGTTCTTATCATACCAGTTGACATAACCCATCATTACAGTCAACAGTTACTAAATGAAAAGGTTTCCTAAATGTAACATTGTATTGCAACAGTCGACAGTTTCTCTCGTAACAGTAACTAAATGTATGTTTTCTGATTGCAACTGTCCACAGTTATTATGGTAACAGTTGTAACAGTTCGATATAGTTCCTTATAGTAATAATTGATAGTTCCTAAATGTAACAGTTGACAGCCCTAAATGTAACAGTCGACAGCTCTAAATGTAACAGTGGACAGCTTTAAATGTAACAGTGGACAGCCCTAAATGTAACAGTGACAGCCCTTAATGTAACAGTCGACAGCCCTAAATGCAACAGTGACAGCCCTAAATGTAACAGTTGACAGCCCTAAATGTAACAGTCGACAGCCCTAAATGTAACAGTCGACAGCCCTAAATGTAATAGTCGACAGCCCTTAATGTAACAGTCGACAGCCCTAAATGTAACAGTCGTCAGCCCTAAATGTAACAGTCGACAGGCCTAAATGTAACAGTCGACAGCCCTAAATGTAACATTGGACAGCCTTAATGTAACAGTGACAGCCCTAAATGTAACAGTTGACAAACCTAAATGTAACAGTTGACAGCCATAAATGTAACAATAGACAGCCATAAATGTAACAGTTGACAGCCCTGAATGTAACAGCCCACAGGAAAAAGGAAATCAAAAGGAAATCCTGTGAATTACCAAAATTTTGCACAATATGAGTAGGGTATGAAATTTTTCTATAAAGAAATATGAATGTTCACTTCACATTAGTGCTTAGTAAAACAATAGCTGAAAGTTCAAATCAGGAAATATGTCAAATTGCACCTTTTTTTGCTTGCTGTTTCACAAGGCATGTAAGATATATGTGATCTATAATTAAGATCTGGATGAAGCCAAATTTCAAGTGAACATCTTCTGTGGTTAATGAGATAATGAAATTGTACGTAAAACTATATGTAACGAAATATTTTTATAAACAAAGTATTTTTATAAAATTTATTAACAGAAAAATTTGTTGTTTCCATAATCTTGTAACTGATGCTTAAAAGAGTCTGAACATAGAATATTATTTAACACACATAAATATTGTATCCAAATAGAATAAAATGTTTGGGAACAAAATATTATGTTGTTATTTTAAGTAGGGTTTCAATCTTCAATCATTGATTCTATCCGTGTGCCAGTTTTAACATAGCTCTATACACTTTAACCAAGTGTGCCATCTGGGTATGGATGCCAGACCCATTTTCCGCTGAATAATCAAGAAAAGTATTCAGTACTTACCTTGAGGTGGCCACACCTTGCATCAGACCCCTGTTTAGGGCCTGATAACACTGCAGTCTTGGACAACATTTCGCCCATGCATCACATTCGAGTCAAAATCATATCAACAACTCCCTGCTTACTTAAACAAACCTGAAAATATACAAAAACAGCAACATTATGATACATGACTTATAGTAAATATATGATTGTTCAATAAACTGTAACCTACTGGAGTTGGAAGTTACCGTATATCTCCTTTGCCATCAGTAAAGTCAGCTAAGCCAGCCTGCACATCCATGCTATTGGTAGCTTAATTTTTTTGTATTTTTACATTGAAATCCCTTAAAACTTCCAATGGACTGTTCCAAATGAACCACTAAACAATATCAGCTGTAAAGAATTAAAGTACAAACAAAAACATGCCTAAAATTGTAGTAACATAATCATAAAATTCCTGGCTTGCATCTGTTTTTACGTTCCATCTCTCTAATGATGCTGCAAGTTTTCATGTTTAGCAGTAATCAGGCCTTAATTGGTATTGATTGTATTTGTATTTTGTACAGTGGCTCCCTTAATTGGCAGCTGAAAGAATAATGCAAGACTTAATTGGAAAATATTTGATCATCTCTGAGGGATACTTTTCTTTTTAAGTCATGATATACATTATACAACAATCTAAACCAGCGGAAAAAAACACTTCCTATTATACTGTCTCTAACAATTATTTATATTTTTGTTTTGTTTTCTGGCTTATTTGTCATTTCTTAATAAAAAAATAATCCTCGATTCATCTTCAATTTCTCGAACTCTTTAACTGTCCTTTAAGCTCACAGTATCATTTAAAAAAGTTTCACTCTTAAAAACATCAAGGCTCTTTTCTTAGAAAGCATTTTATTAAGTGTATTTGTTTTGTTATGTCTTTTTGTTTTCTTTTTCATAAAAACATGATAGACGCATCCCTCTTCCCTGCTGGTACACATGATAGGTGAAGATGCACTGAAATTCTAGAAAAAAAACAACACCAAAAAAACCAAAAAAAAAACAAGGAAGAGACATCCCCTCACCTCACTGAAAAAAAAACAAGATAACTACCCCCTACAAAAAACATATGACAGGTCAATTTCCCTCCAGAAATTCAAAATGGGTGCAATTTCTTTCCAAAAAAACAACAACAAACAAGAGGGCCATGATGGCCCTGAAGTCGCTCACCTGTATATAGGCCCCTGAAGCGGGGCCAGTTTAAACCCCAGGGCTTTTATTTGAACAAACTTGGTAGACACCCATTAGAAGATGTTTCATGCTAAACATCTAAGGTCTAGCTGGTCAAGTTATTTCTTTACACATTCAGTTAAAAACAGTGACACACCTGGGGCGGGGCCAATTTTGACCCCAGGGCTTTTATTTGAACAATCTTTGTAGACACTTACTAGAAAATGTTTCCTGCTTAATATCTAAACTCTAGCTATTCGGGTTTTTTCAAAGAATTTTTAAGTTTTTGCTATACACATATAAGGAAAATCAATTTACCCCGGGGCGGGCCCAATTTTGACCCCAGGGCTTTTATTTGAACAAACTTTGTAGACACTCACTAGAAGATGCTTCGTTCTTAATATCTAAACTCTAGCTATTTGAGTTTCTTCAAAGAAGCTTTTTCAAGTTTTTGTTATACACAAATAAGGAAAATGAATGTCCCCCGTGGCGGGGCCAATTTTGACCCCAGGGCTTTTTTTTTTAACAAACTTGGTAGAGACTCACTAGAAGATGTTTCATGCTTAGTATCTAAACTCTAGCTATTTGTTTTTTTTTCAAAGAAGATTTTTTAAGTTTTTGCTATACACATATAAGAGAAATCAATGACCCCCGGGGCGGGGCCAATTTTGACCCCAGGGCTTTTATTTGAACAAACTTGGTAGACACCCATCAGAAAATGTTTCATGCTAAATATCTAAGCTCTAGCTCTATGGGTTCTTTAAAAGAAGATTTTATTAAGTTTTTACTATATGCATATAGGGAAAATCAATGACCCCCTGGGGCGGGGCCAATTTTGACCCCAGGGCTTTTATTTGAACAAACTTGATAGACACTTATTAGAAGATGTTTCATGCTAAATATCTTAGCTCTAGCTCTTTGGGTTCTTTAAAAGAAGATTTTATAAGTTTTTACTATATGCATATAGAGAAAATCAATGACCCCCTGGGGCGGGGCCAATTTTGACCCTAGGGCTTTTATTTGAACAAACTTGGTAGACACCTATTAGAAGATGTTTCATGCTAAATATCTTAGCTCTAGCTCTTTGGGTTCTTTAAAAGAAGATTTTATAAGTTTTTACTATATGCATATAGGGAAAATCAATGACCCCCTGGGGCGGGGCCAATTTTGACCCCAGGGCTTTTATTTGAACAAACTTGATAGACACTCACTAGAAGATGTTTCATGCCAAATATCTAAGCTCTACCTCTTTGGGTTTTTAAAAAAGAAGATATTTTTTCTATCGGTTGCCATGGCAACCAGAGTTCTCCATGGAATTAAATTCTTTGAACAATTTTTAAAGGTGACCACCAAAGGAACATTCCTGTGAAGTTTTGATGAAATTGGCTCAGGGGTTTATGAGGAGATGTCATTTAAAGAAAAAGTTTACGGACGATGGACAGACGCCGGACGAAAAGCGATCACAAAAGCTCACAAAACAAAACAGCATGGGTCATTTTCCTTTGGGAGGAACTTTTTCAAAGAAAAACATGATGGGTCATTCCCCCCCCCCCCCCCCCCCCCGAAAAACATATAGGTGCATATATATAAAATATCCCCCTACTCCCCAGAGAGAGAAACAATATGGGTACAATTTTTTCCAAGAAAAACATAACAGGTCATAAATATTTCCCCCCTATGAAAAACAAGATTCTTGATGAGGTGTCTTTCTTGGAAAGGAAGCATGTTCATTTATAGTTTTAAGTTCTTTGACACTAATAATGATGTTTAAATTATTCAGAAAAATGAGATACTTTATGCTTTATGACAGTGTTGTTAATTGCTTTAAACAATTATTTATTTAAGTTCGATTGCATAACAAGTTCTTGCAACTTATATTAATCTCTTTCAAGTCCACTTTCTGGAACCAACCAGTACTGGTGTCATTTGAAGAAACATCTTTCTGTTTTGAAGACTGAACATAATTATAGTTTCTAGATTTCCTAAAAGACCTCAAACTAGATCAGCATGTCTTATTATTAATAATAAGTAGACTATAAATTACTGCAGTCATGCCTGAACTAAAAACTGGCCTCATCAAATTAAATGGTTGTCAACCATCCTTATCATAATTATTACCAAAAAATACAGCTTACAATCGTTTTAAAATTAAAAAAAAAAAGAAAATATCATTTTTAGTTAGGTATTTCACCTATTCATGTAAGTATACAGGAAATAAAATGATTATACCTGCCCACCTCCAATATGAAAAGAAAAAGAAAATAAATACATATACATGCAACTAAAAAGAAAAATCACCTTTGTAACTTTCCATGTAATCGTACCTGATACTTTTCCAATTCTATTCCTCTTTTGTAAGATAATTATCAGAATGGTCATTTTGTTAGCAAATGCCATGGACACTTAAAAACTGAGGAATACCATCAGTGTTAGATAACTATAATGTGCATGTCCAATATTTGCACGTGTATTCTGAACAACAGTATTATAGACTTGAACTATAAACATGTATATTATATAAGCTAACCATTATAATATATGATTTTTTATGTTATTTTCCAAAAAAAATTCTAACATTTTTGAAATTTTGAAAATTAGTTGTAAGTATAACAGTTAGAAGTTATACAGGACCTTTTTTCATATTTAAAATTTGTAGCCGGCATGGCTGCAAATAGGGTCAAGGTGACCTGCCATTGGAAACAGACAAAATTGAAATGCCTCAACCCCAAGCTCGAGTCTGTAAAAGAACATAACCTTTGTCTTCCAACCAAAGCATGATAGTATAGTATAAACAAGAGGGCCATAACGGCCTGGATCTTTCATCTGGAGATACATTACCAGAAAAGGTTTCAATTATTACTTTTCAATGTCACAATCAGTTAAATGAGATCACATTGGGTTTGTCTTATTTTACCCAAGCTGCATAAATTTTGAAATAAATGAAATGCTAAATAAAAAATATTTAAGAATTTGCCATCCTAATTTAACAATAGAAGACTTGAAGGTATTTTGATCCCAGAGGAGTAACTTATCTAACTTTTAGAGAGGCACAAGGTGATCCTAAATGCCAAATATCCAAGCTCTGGGTATTGTATTTTCAGAGAAGATTCTTAAGACATTTTGACTTTATTACAATTCTATGTAAAGTAATTGCACTTCAGGGTGGGACCATTTTGAGCTCAAGGGGCTAGACATAACTTTGGTAGGGGTCAAGTAGGCTATACTAGATGCCAAATATTAGAGCTGTGGGCCATGTAGACTATCACAAATGCATTTTCCTCATGATACAAGTGAATATAAACTAAATTACACCCAGGCAAATTTTGAGGGACATGATTTATATAACTTCTGTAGAAGACCATAAGGTGATGGCCGATGCTACAATATCTAAGCTCTGTGTAAAATAGTTTCTGAGAAGAAGAATTTTAAAGATTTCATTTTTCAAGTGGCATGTACAGAAGTTATCAGTTCCTTGTGAAAGTGATGGCAACTAGAAATCAGCCTGCCCAGGAACAATGCAGTGGCTGAACTGTGCTGCCGAGAATTCAAAGTTGCTCACTGCCATGATCTGGAGGGTACATGTATAAAACTAACGCCACCAATGCATATTGAAGAATAATACTGGTGAGGTTTGGTCTAAATCCATCCTGTAGTTTAGCAGGAGATGTGGACAATGATGAAAGACCGAGCTCAGACAGCATACCATCCCTAAAATCTCATCTCTGAGCATGAGCTAATAAAAAGCAAAAACAAACAATAACAAGATACTCTTGAATATTTCAATTTATGTTTAACACAGGAATTGTCTGTCCACAGGGGGAATAACTCAGTACAAATCTTTGCTAGAGTACCTTTAATTGACCAGAACCTATTTGAGCCCGTCATGACAAAACCAACATAGTGCGTTTGCCACCAGCATGGATCCAGACCAGCCTGCGCATCCGCGCAGTCTGTTTAGGATCCATGCTGTTCGCTTACCAACTCTATTACAAGTAGAGGTACTGATAGCGAACAGCATGGATCCTCATCAGACTGCGCGGATGCGCAGGCTGGTCTGGATCTATGCTGGTCGCAAATGCACTATGTTGGTTTTGTCATGACGCGGCTCATTTGATCTCATGAGATAAAATGTGTATCTATTGTGAAAACTGAAAAATATTTGTGTGATATGTACCGGTATTTGCAAAATATCTCTCAGTTTGCAATTCCTGTAAATTTAATTTGGTATGAGTCAACTTTTCCCTGCATCATACGCTATTTTCTGAATCGTTGCAAATAGATTATTACTCATGAAATATAAGTCATATTTCAAATGCTTTGGCATACAATACAGGGTTAAAGCACTCCTTTTTTTGGCACCTTCTTCGTGTTCACCATCATCTACAGAAGCACGACGAGGCATTTAAAGCCCAAGGTGTCAGGGTGAGGGATTCAGTATACAGTGATAATGTATGAAGGCTTCTGTAGATGTTAATGCACCAAAAAAGTGCACTAGCGCTATTCTTGAACTAGAGCTATCACTAATGGTGATTTATACCACATTCTAACACGACCCGCATTTTTCCCCATTGAACATAGAAGAACCGAAAGTGTGTGTTATTATGCTATAAAATCACTGTTTGACGTTCTATATTTAGACATGTGACGTAATCATTATACAAGTGACGTAACCACTAAAAATGTGACGCGCTGACAATAAGTACGGAAACAAATCAGGCGCAATTAAGCTAGTTATAATGTTCGGCAGCATTTATTTGTTGATGTCGTGTTAGAATCGAAATAATATATCCAAATCGGTGATTTTATTGCTATATAACATCACTGTTTGTCGTTCGGATGCGCATCATTATATCACTCAGGCTACGCCCTCGTGATATAATTCCCCGCATCCGAACTCCAAACAGTGATGTTATTGAGCAATAAAATCACAGTTTGGGATATATTATTTCTTAAATATATCATTCCTAACTCTATGCAAGGTCTCCACATAAGCTTCCTGAATGCCAAGTTTTATTACAATATCTCATTCCTAACTCTTTACATTGTCCCAAAAAACATTTTTCTATCTTAGGTAACAGTGACCTTCACTCCAGGGAGTTCAAAAGCAATCCCAATCTGGCTCTTCATACAAGTTTGCATTATACTAAATTTGAAAATAATATCTCATTCCAAACTTTAGTTATTGTTCGGAAACATTTTTTTCTAATTTTATACACAGTGACCTTGATCCAAGGGAGTCCAAAAGCAATCCTAACTGGGGTCATGCATCATGTTTTCTTCTCTGTTTAAGTACTGCATGCACAGTTTTTTATTTAAGAATATGGTTTCACAACAAACAACTCATTTATTTGGGCTAAGTGATAACAAATGCAATTGCCAAGAGGTATGCCTACAAATACACAGGTTAGTTAACAAGTGGTTGGAAATGTTGACTGACTGCTAAGACAATTGAGGATTTATTGCAGGAATACATATAAACAAATAACTATATTCTAATTTTAAATTACTTTAGCTCAAATATGATGAAAAGAAAAGAATTTATTAGACCCACTCTCAAACAGTCTGTTTCCTCGAATTCTCATGAACCAAGTATGGCTTAAACTTACAATCCCTGTGTTGAGGGGCAGACTTCCTTAAACCACAAAGCCAAGTCCTCTTTGAGATTCACCAGCACTGCTCAGGAAGCTTAACAAACTGAAATAAAAGGTCTAGAGAAAGACCTTATATGCCATTATGTGCTTACATTGCAGCTGGTGTCTAAACTTTGGTGAAACCAGCATATCGTTGAAGGATATAACTTGACACGATTCTTAGGGTAGTTCTCGGTATTTATACTTAAATGACTAAATAAGAGGAGAGCAATTCAATTTCAGTCAGCAAGTCTTGGATGTTGCCATGTAAAAATTGGGTTTAAAGGGACGGATGTGTGCTGATAAAGTGACTACAAACTTTCAAATTTCTTTGAATTTACCAAACAGTCAAAATTTTAAAGTAATAATACGCCATTATAGTCAAAAAGCTTTTCAGCGCTATAGTATCAACTTTTCGGGGGGAAAAGTAAAAAATATTTGGCTCTAAGTGCTATCTCTATCACATCTATGATATATATTGAAAGCTTAATAAAATCAAGGGCTCTTCCATCAATTAGCCTCAATCATATAGATACTATTATCATGTGGAATGCCAATAAAAAATGCTTACATGTCATTATCAAATTGATTTTTCTCCCAATGTTTCTATAGAATTTTATTTATCATTCACCCGGAGTTTCATAATGTTTATCATTTCATCACCTTAAAGCAGTAATGACTTAACTCCTCATATAATTTTATAGAAGTTACCCCGTTAATGCACTAAGGTGATGATTTGCATAAAAAGATTTTAGAACTTTTACATAACAAGGGCTGGTCTAAAAGTTCCTTATCTACTAGTAATTTAGAAGATTTTAGTCACTTTTTAAAAATATTGCAAATAAAAAAGAATTAATATTACATGTTGTAAAAGATCTTACTTAAATTTTAGAAATATCGCTAAGTAAGATTTATTACTTAGAGACTTTTTTTTTAGAATAATCTTTGCAACTATCAGAAATGGGTTTAATGGCTTGAGACAAATACAGGATAACTAGGACAAATCAAAATCTTAAAGGAAAAAGAAAAAAAAAATCAGGAAAATAGCCAAAACCCCTTCCCCCACTGCAATAATGCACTGTCTTACTATAAGGTTATCTACTTTGAAAACCTCTAGATTTTGAAATTAACATGTGAGCCCATTAACCCTGATCTTGCTGTAGTCTTTGCCACCAGTACAGAGCCATTGCCAGACTACACAGGAAACCAGGCTTTTTTTATAGTTTGTAGCTCAAATTTTAGTATTTTGGTTATTAAAATCCTTTAAATTTCAAATGTACAGTTTCAAATTCAAAACTGAACAACTCCATTCAGCAGCTTTATTAGGGTTAAAAGAAAAATAAACATTTATGCCTCAAAACAATCTTGACCTATTTATCAAACTGTCAAAAATTATGCAGGAAAATAAATATATTGTTTATGATTTAGAAAAAAAACCCCTAAAAAACCAACATTTTTGCTGCAAAATGTAAGTCATTCACTTTAATGTTAATAGAGAAATCAAGGCTTTACTCACCAACGCCCATGCAATTCTTGTTTATCCTGCAATAAACAAAAAAAGACAATTTAACATTAAACTCATGATGACATTAGACAGATTTAACTGCTCTTTCACATGCAGCATTCTGTGCAGAAAAAGATTAGAATGATAATCAATGGACATGAAACAAATAAAAAAAACGAGAAAAAAAAAACTCATCATACTTTAGTATTGAATTCAATCAATTTCAGAAATTCTTGACTCAGTAAGAGTGTGCTCAATTACAGGCAATTTAGGGCACAACAGGAGGAGGACAATTTGTGTCCCAGATGTTTCGAGATCAGAAAATTTAACATAATTGCAATTTCATCAAAACAGAATATTGTTTTTTGGTTGTTTTTTTTTTAAATAAAAAAAATGTTGGATTTGTATGTGTTGGACATGTACATGTTGGATTGGGTAACCCATAGGGCACCAAATATTACAGTGGGCTATTAATGGTAACCCATAGGGAACCATGGGGTGTGGGGGTTCTGAGACAGATTTCCTTAACAATTGATAAATAGAATTGAAATGTATTTTCTTACACTAATTGGCCTGAAAATCCTGCAACAGTACAGCATTTTTGTCTCAAATTATTTCTCAAAAGACAATTCAAAATTCCCAATATAAATACAAGTCTATTTATAATACATAATAAAATTTGAAAAGGTCAATTACAGAATTACACTTGCACTTTACCCCCTTTTTCTGCCTTACAGGAATTCACTAAGTGCCTGTTACAAATGATTTTCTGCACACAATTTGCCAAACCATGACAGCCAATCAACAACAAGCAATTGCATGACCACCCCTATCATTCAATATCAATTTTAACGCTCATGCAAAAAAGAGCTCGTTTTTCCCCCCTCCAAACCAATTTTTTACAATCACCATAACAAATAACTACCGAAAAAACTCTGAAAGCAAGCATGTCAAGGAGATGTAGAAACCGGCAAGTTCTTGGTTTCAATTAAAATCAATACGAGTGTGCGAAGATCCAATGCTTTTAGAAAGCAAATATAGTAACCATGGTTACCAAAACAGAAATTGTAACATTTCGAGAGCTCTTTAATGCAAATAAAACATATCAGATCAAGATTTCAATAAATATCATGCTACCAAAGCTAACCAAAGCTATTCCAAAAACCTATTTCCGGAAATTTGGCCAATTTTATACTATCAGCTCCAAAGCTTCTTGTTCTGCTATTATTTTAAGCATTTAAATTTGTTTACTGCGCCTCAGTGATGGAAACACGCAGAATATACAGACGCAGTTAGAATATTTGATTTTTTCTCTCAAGAGAAATCAATTTTGTTATCCAATTTCAATGCATTTTGAAGAAACATACATTATATAGTATTCCATGACAAGTTTTTTGTACTGGTACCAGTATTAATCGAATGCATTAGCATACGCAATTAGTTCAAAATAAAAATAAAAAAAATTGAAAATGTGGTCATTTTTAAAGCTGCTTTTGCAGCATTTCAATTTAAAACTCACTTTATTTCATTTGAAGACCATTCATCCTCTGAATGTAATGAAAACCAGAACTTTTATTCTGTTATGTTAAAATGCAAAAATGTTAATATAGGGGCAAACATCATAAAGTATATAGTTAGGGCAAAAGAAGACATGTCAACTTTACACTTCAACTCTGTTTTGCAGATTTGCAAAAAAAGTACCACTAGAATTAAGTAAGATATATCTGACAAGTCTTCTAAGCCGATTTCAACACATTTTTGAGGTATCCTGGCAGTCAGCTAACCAAATAGACTGGCTAACTTCCCAGATATTAAAATTTTTCCACAATTAACTGGTTACTTATCTCACATCATGTCTGAATCAGCCTTTGAAGACAACTGACCAACAGACTTAAATGCCAAACAAGATTGCATTTGAGAAAAATGCTATGCCACCGCATTAATCCTTGTACCTTCAGACAATAAGATTTTTTGATTTTTTTACTATATGTTTATATTGAAAATCAATGACCCCCGGGGCAAAGGCAATTTTGACCCCATTGCTATAATTTAAGCAATCTTGCTAGAAGTTCATTTCATAATGTTTCATGCAAAATATCTAACCTCTAGCATTTGTCAATTTCTAGAAGAAATTTTTTTAAAGTTTTTACTACAAGTCATGTTTAAGTTTTTACTATATACATATAAGGAAAACCAATGACCCCCGGGGCGGGGCCGATTCTGATCCCAGGGCTATAATTTGAATAATCTTGGTAGAGGTCTACCAGACAATGCCTTGTGCAAAATATCTAAGCTCTAGGCCTTTTGGGTCTTTACAAGAAGGTATTTTAAGTTTTTACTATATGTACATATAGTGAAAATCAATGACCCCCGGGGCGGGGCGAATTTTGACCCCAGGGCTATAATTTGAACAATCATGGTAATGGTCTACCAGACAATGCCTTATGCAAAATATCTAAGCTCTAGGCCTTTTGGGTCTTTACAAGAAGGTATTTTAAGGTTTTGCTATCTGTACATATAGTGAAAATCAATGACCCCCGGGGCGGGGCCGATTTTGACCCCAGGGCTATAATTTGAACAATCTTGGTAGAGGTCTACCAGACAATGCCTTATGCAAAATATCTAAGCTCTAGGCCTTTTGGTTCTTTACAAGAAGATTTTTTAAATTTATTCTTATAATTCCTTTTGGTTGCCATGGCAACCAGATTTCTGCATGGAATGAAATTCTTTCAACAACTTTGGAAGCCCTTCACCCAAGGATCAATCCTGCCAAGTTTGGTTGAAATTGGACTAGTGGTTTTTCACAAGAAGATTTTTTAAGTTCACTATATAATCTATATAACACACACACACACACACACACACACAAACAAACACACACACAGGTGAATCGCTATATGCCACCGCATCGCAGATGCTGCGGTGGCATAAAAACGATTTTCACCTTGGCAGAGGACTGAACCAGTGGCCCCTTGATTACAAATACATGTACTTGTATAATACCCACCCTAAGTGAGTTAAGCAGGGGAGACAACAAGGTGTAACTGCTGACTGAGTAATGTAAACTATAAAATATGAAATATTCTTTAAACTACAGATATGTCGACATACGAAAATTTAGAACTTTTAAATTTCGAAAGAAAAAAAATTATAGTGTCGGAATTACCTACCCTCCTTTTATTGCTGACACTATAATAACATTATAAGGAAAATCGGAAACGAAATGTTTTTGTCCTCAGATAATCTAACTTTGTTGCAAGTACTGCGTAGACACTCATAAACATTTCTATGTAGCTCTAGTGATTTCAAAAAATTTCAGTGAAAATGTTCCGAATGTTTAGTTCCAGTTCTAATAGTATTACGTCTATAGATCACAGACTTTTCTATCACGTCCCTGGAGCATATATCGCTTCTGTTTTAGAGCAAAACATTCTGTCAGATAGAAAGTCTGATCGTAATTTATATTACATGTACCAAAATAAAGAAACTATATACAGGAATATACATGATGTTATAATAATCTCTTTGTTGTTTATCAAAACAGCATTCAGCCAGATTTGCGGTAATTTTTACAAAAACTTAGGAAATTTTCTACTGTCTAAAAATTTTTCTACTGACTAAATATGTTGCTATTTATTAGGTGATTTAATTAGTAAATCGATATCACGAATGCATTGTTATATAGAATAATGCACGACTTGAGTTAACAAATATGCACAATATATATTAATCACAATATAATTATATTAATCACAAAGCATTTGACTCGATTTGAGTGATAAAATGTGCATTATTATACACTATTATGCAAGAAAATTTCATATCTATTTCCATTCTTACATGTAAATATTCCTTGTTACTATTTATTTTATTCATCTTGAGGCATGCCCCTTTAAGTCATGATCACTGCATAGGCTTTCATCAAAGAAAATGATTTCAGTTCTTTGTATTTATGATTATGTATTTAATGATTTTGCTATTATTTTGAAACAAATTTTTGATGAAGCCGCTTATTCGATGATTATTATTACTCCAATATTCTTTATCAACTTAATTTTTTTAATCAGTTGTTCTTCAATGTCTTTGACTGTCCTGATGGCTAAATATTTAGGTGAAAGGCATTAACAAATGTTAACATAACAAGACGCTACCACCCCTTCCACAACACTTCCCAAAACAACTTTTCACATAACAATAAAAACAATTAAAAATTTTCAAAAACTGTCATAAGCAAGGAAGTCAATTAAATAAAACAAGAATAGCAATATTTTACAAGAATACAAAATCAAAGCACAAATTGATGGAACACACCACTCCCCTCCCCCATAATCTAAATGATTATACTACAGTTACACACCTACGCAAGTATATACACCTCTGAAGCCATTCATTCTAGACTGGGGCCAATATATATAACTCAGAGTTGAGTATATACTGTAATGAAAAAATCCAATAACTGGTCAGTGGCCATTTGTTGGTCAGTGCAGTGATAGACTGGTCACAGACTTGTAGCTGCAAGCATCTGCAGATCTCTGATGTAAGTCTACATCACACAGGTGCTTGACCTTAACCTCAGGTATAAATAGAATGGTTAATGGCTGAAAGAGGCCTCATAAAGGGATAGGAATTATTTTATGAGTTTTAATGTAATAAACTGTATCATTATCATTTTTTCTATCAGAAAATGGACATTAAACCTATTCCCACTAAAACACTTCATGAATATGTTTTTCAGCAAAAAGTTTCCATTTCATTTTGTCAGAAAAACACACACTGAGGGTTTTTTTTACATATTATTTTTGAGATTTTCATAATTATGATTTGATGTGGGTCTAAAGACAAAACATTCAGATCATTCTCTCATTTCATTTTCCAGATTGATCAGTTTTTATTGTGCAAGATGTTACCTTAAATTAAACACTTTTGAACACTTTATACTAAAATAGTGCTAAAATCAAAATACATTTCAAATTATTTTTAGTAATTATTTATCATTATCATTCTAATATATATCTTTTTTTAAGGCTTTCAATTACTT